ACGCAGACTGCATATACATGATATTCTAGGTGGTGTGGGGACCAAAGGCCTTCAGGCAATGCTGTGGAATAGAAGGGTTCTTTCGGACATTCTTTCCGACGAGAGCCAAATCAGGTAGATCTTTGGAGGGGGGGAAGCATTTGTTTGTTTAGGGTTCAGGGTTCAGGATTTAGAGTTTGGGGTTCAGGGCTTTGGGTTTGGGGTTTGGGGTTTAAGGGTTCAGGGTTTAGGGTTTAGGGATTTTAGGGGTTAGTGGTACACCGATTTTTTACGAGAAAGCCCAGGTTCCTGGCCCAAGCTCATCGGATGGCCCCCTTCGAGTGGCCGAAAGCATTGGAGGAGCGCTACCTGGAGGCCGAAGAAGCAAAGGGGAATTTGAGGGTTTAGGGTTTAGGAATTTGAGGGTTTAGGGTTTAGGGTTTCGGGTTAGGCAGGGTTGATAAAGAGGCCGGGGTATTTCATGATGTAATGTAGAGGCCGGAATACTTGATGACATAATTTGTTACAGTTCCGTGTTGTGAGAGCATTCCCAACGAAGAAGGTGACATGAAGGGTCCAGATCACGACGACCCCAACGACAAGGACCTGCATTTTTTAGAGCCCCCGCCGTTTAGACTTTTACTATCCCTGAACCCTGCACCCTAAACCTAGACCCGTATGTGTTCCTTGGGTGTTCGGGTCAGGCAAAGCAACTACGGCTGGTGATCGAAGACTCCGACACCTACTCCTACGAGGCTCTGCCCCAGAAGGTCTTATAGTGTGGTTTAGAGCTTATTGGGTTTAGGGTTCAGGGATGGATGACAGTAAGCATCTTCGCTTGAGCTGCTTGGCCCATGGACTTCCATGAGCTCTTTGGGAACACTGCCGTGATCATGAGCTCTTCTGGCAGGTAAGGTTATTCTTCATAGGTGGCTTCGTTATCGTGTAGCCCTCCTATCTGTGCCGGCTTACTTCTTATGAGGTTGCTCTTGGACTTGAAGTGGCAAAGCCGCAAATAGCCAGTAGAACCCAATCTTAAAGCCTAGCGTAATAGCCCGAAAAAAGTACTATTACGACGTATGCCTTAGGTTCCCGAGGTATCGTATACAACCTGCCCAGGTCCGGTTAGTTAGAACTCTATAACTAACAACACCTTACCTGACTTAAAGACCAGCCAGATGAAATCAATCGTCAACAAAATACTTGATGTACGTATGTATGTACGTATGTATGTATGCATGTAGGTATGTAGGTATGTAGGTATGTAGGTATGTAGGTATGTAGGTATGTATGTATGTATGTATGTATGTATGTAAGGCTCAGCAGCAGGGTGCCCCTGTTCTGGGTTGGTGTGTGTG